TAAACTTTTGTAAACTTTTTTGTTACTAATTTTTTCGTCGCTTACTAAGTATTACTTTTGTTTTTGTTTTTTTTTTTCCTTATAGTCAAGTTGCCATTGTTTATAAAAAAAAAAGAAAACAATTTTACATAAAGAATGTCAACAATAGAAAAGAAACACAAAAAAAAAAAAAATTACTTGTATATATGTATGTATATATATATTATTGTATCAAATGATTTATTATAATCATTGTCTTATCGAAAATGAGTCCAAAATTAGATATATTTTGTTATTTACTTCTCTAAAGCTGCAAAAACCAATATTATTTATGTAATGGCAATGGTGTACCTTACAGCATTAAAAAGTGCCTTCATTTAAACAATCTTGTATACAGGATTAAAAATCTATTCAAAATCTTTCTCTCTTTCTCTCTTTCTCTTTTTCTTTCTCTTTCTGTCTCTCTCTCTGTCTCTCTCTCTCTCTCTCTCTCTCTTTCTTTATCTTTCTTTCTTTCTTTCTTTTCTGACTGACGTTTTCATCCTGTCTTCCAACATCAGCGTATTAAATCAATATTTAAAAATTGCAAAATAATTATCAAAACTTCTCTTCTACAAAGATTAATACACGACACACCCACACACACACACACACACACACACACAAAATATAATGGAATATTTTGAAACGATTAGAATTATAATGGAATAATTGATTAATCGAATAGTAGAGAAATAATATTAAAATTTAATTATTGCATTACTTGACTGTTGGAAGTGGAGCAGTGTACTAACATTGTATGTACTATGTACAAAGCTAAGACTAAACACTTATCCATACTAATTCATTACTGAAGAGAAAAAAAAAAAAAAACAAATTATATCTTCGTTAACAGTGCCTTTTAAATATTACAAAAAAAAAAAAAAAGAAAAGAAAAAAATAAAGTCTATTTTTTTTTTTAATATCCTTCGTATTACAATCTATTTTTTTCAAACGTTAAAATTTAATAGCAATTACGAAAACAGGTGTATCTCTCTAAATATCATCGTACATTCTATTGCCATAATTAAAATAGATGATTAAAAAAAGAAAAGAAAAAGAAAAAAAGGAAAAAATTGATATATATATAATTTTATCAATAATATTTTTGTGTGGCATCACATTAAGAATAGAGACAATTTTAAAACTGTACTTGTAATAATAAATTGTGTGTATCACATCTGGAAAATATTAGAATGGAGAAAAAAAAAAAAAAAAAGAAAAGAAAGGAATGCAATAATACATTATATCTGAAAAAAAAAAAACAAACAAACAAACCAACAACTACATTTTGTTTTGAATTTATACTCTCTCTGCACTTTGTGAAAAAGAAGAAGAAAAAGAAAAAGAAGAAGAAGAAAAAAAGAAATGAAATTGTAGATTAAAGTATAAACGAAACGAGTGAATTATTATTTTCAATTGAAATTATTATTTAAATGATACCAAAATTGTTTTGAACTGAAGTAGAAAGTAATCTAATGTGTAAATAATTTAATTGTTCTTATTTATTCGATAATTATGGATCAGTGTTAAGTCTATTGAGATAAAAAAAAAAAAACAATTATTATCGTTAGCAAGAAAAAATTCACGATGACATTATATGAATTATTTTGATTATCAGTTTTTGAAAATTGGTGATATATTCGNAAAAAACAATTATTATCGTTAGCAAGAAAAAATTCACGATGACATTATATGAATTATTTTGATTATCAGTTTTTGAAAATTGGTGATATATTCGTTATTAATTATTTATACACATAGAATATTTAGTTGTTTTTTTTTCTTTTTTTTTTTTTTAAATAAAACATATCGATTAAGTAAAATGAATGAAAATTTGCAGGTAATACGAAAGTCGATTTTTGTACATCACATTTCTCTCATAAATAATGGATACCAAAGGGATTCACTACTACTATCATAAAATTAAATCTTTGTATACTACTATCTTGCATTATATTGTTTATTTCTGCTATATATATATATATATATTTCTTTTTTTTTTTTATTTCTGTGTGTATAACTTTAAATACTGCAAATGAGTGAGACATTTTATCTTTTTAGATCAATGTATCATATCGCAGTACTAAATACCATAATAATAAAGACTTTAAGTGAATTTTAATTTTAATAATATAATTTTCAAACAACAATTCAATTATTTAAATAATGCTTTAAAATAAATAACACATTATTCTATTTGTAATACATTACGCTATACATATATATATATATATATATATATATATATATATTATATTACACTTATACTATTATTTAACGATCATATATATATATATATATATATATATATATAACACTTTTCGGTTTTATTTTAAGCTTTAAAATTGATGAATTATATTCAAGTACCTCCTGCTCCATACGAGAATATAATACGTACATTTTTACTGCACACTGAGTGTGCACACATTATATATATAATGATTTAGTTTATAGACGTTTAAATTTAAAGTAATATTTGTTGAATTGCTATTTGACATCGAAAGACTCAGCTCTCAACTAATAAATATAGTATCATACTTGTTCGTTTCACGCATTGAATTATTTTTTAATATTATATTATCCTATATTAAACAGATCTGTCGCGAACTCATGAGAAAAGTAATATTTATGATGAATTTGTAGTTGTACATTTTGTAATATCTCTCACACACTTTTGCCTTGTAATTATAAATATTATAAAATTACTCTATGACACAAGTTAGTTCAATAAGTTAGAATATATATATATACGTAAATACATGTGTATACATATATATATAAAAAAAAAAAAAAAAAACAAAGAGATACTTTGAGCTAAATTACTTGCTATTATTTTTTTTTTTTTTTTTTTTTTTTTTCTATCACTCATCAACTAATCTATAAGATCATAACTATTATTGTGTGTAGGGTTGTTAATATATATATATTCTTATGAGATATGTTAAGTTTAGTAATTAAACAAATGTGTACAAGAGTACCTTTAAATAAATCTTCTTTTTTTTTTTCTATATTTTAACACAATTGACCAGGAGAGGCTCAGAAGTGTTATAAACGTCAGATTTCTTTCAAATTTTGCACACTTGTAATAATCCATGAAAAAAAAAATACATTGTGCGTTTGAACTAAAAGCGTATATATGGTGAGAAATTTGCAATAAAGTTTGCGAGTTGGAATTGAAGATATTATTATTGTTCTCATCAAACTGACAAGAAAAATTGATGTATTATTTGTATGAATTAATGTCTTCTTTGTAGGGATTCCATGTGAATTATTATGAGAATAGTATGCAACAGCTGATGTGTCAAGAAATAATTCAAATCATAAATTGTCAAATGGTAAATGTGTAATATGCTCTGATATCTGCAAAAAAAATTAAATATTATATTACTCTTAAGAAATATTTTTTCATAATATTAATATCATGATTTTTTTCAACAGATATTTTCAATCATTTGACTGTAAGAGAACAACGATAAGAAGAGTCCAACAATACCACAACCATGAATGATTTTTCAAGACACAAGCCTTAATATACTTACACTTGGAAAAAAAACCATATGCAGTATTATTCTATCAATAGAAATGCAGAAGTAATGCATCCTTGTCATTAGAAATTGTGAAAACAAATGGCAAATACATTATATTGGCAAATTCTATTCTTGTACAAAATCTTTTAGCAAGTTTTGTACATGGTAATGGAAGAATATTATTGTTCATCGACTGACAAGAAAAAATTGATGTATTATTTGTATGAATTAATGTCTTCTTTGTAGAAATTCCATGTGAATTATTATGAGAATAGTATGCAGCAACTGCTGTGTCAAGAAATAATCAAAATCATAAATTGTCAAATGGTAAATGTGTAATATGCTCTGATATCTGCAAAAAAAATTAAATATTATATTACTCTTAAGAAATATGTTTTCATAACATTAATATCATGATTGTTTTCAACAGAGATGTTAAATCATTTTTGACTGGAAGAGACTATGCATTAATTTCAACAACGATAAGAATAATGCAACAATACTGCAACTATGAAAGATTTTTTAGAGATACTGCCTTTATTATAATTACACTGGGGAAAAAAAAAAACCATATGCAGTAGTATTTTATCAAAAAAGTAGCAGAAGAATATGCATCCTTGTTTTTTTTCAAATTGAGAGCAAATGGTAAATATATTCTAATGTACAGTTATCAACATTTACTAAATTTATTACTGTAAATCTTACTGTGTGTGTGTGTGAGAGAGAGAGWTTGAAAATATTACTTGGAATTGAGTGAGACTAGAAAAATTTATATATTTGTATGAACTCATGTCTTTTTTTTTTTTTTTTGGAGAAATTCCCTGTTAATTATTATGCAAATAGAATGCAGCTGCAGTGAAAAAAATTAATTTAAACAATAATATGTTTAGAGGTAAGAATAATAATTTTGTTTAAAGAAAAAGGAAATATTATAATATTATTAAGATACATTTATTTTTATCAAATAAAAAGTAATATACGTTGCATTTATTTTTAATTATATTTAACAAAAACAAATTATATTTATCGACTGATAAATTATGTGTCGCCATCTAACGGTATTAGAATATCACTAAATAGAATATGTTTCGCCATCTAGCGGTACTAGCTATTATCAATGAGCATTGACTGAACTTTTCGTAGACTCGTGCATTGACAAAATTCTTCGTAGCTCATTGATTTTCAAAAATTGAAACAATTTTTTTCGTACATTCATGAAAAATGAAGAAATAATTAAAATGTCGTATTGACCAATTATAAATAAATCATTTATTTGTCTTCATAAAAATGTATAAAATATTTGAAATACATATATATATATATATATATCATATTTTTACATTATATATT